AGAAAGAAAAGTTGTATCAAGTCATTTATAAGGGGGTCCCCTAGGCCACCAGACAATGGGATAATATATTTAAAGATCTGAAAGAAAAAAAAAAGAAAAAAAAAACTTCTTGCCAAAAATGATAGCTGTAGCAAGCAAGGTAATTCTTCAAAAATGCAGGAGAAATAAAATCTTTCACAAACAAGCAAAAGCTGAAGGAAATTATCACTGCCTTACAACAAATGCTTATAGGAGTTCTTCAAGTAAAAATGAAAAGATGATAATTACTATTATTAATGTATATAAAAATATAAAACTTACTGATAGAAATAAATAGACTGTCAAATACAGAACAATCCAATACTGTAACTGTGATGTTTAAATCATACATATTCTAATTTAAAGATTAAAAGGAAGAGTTGAAAATAACCAAGACTTCACTTAGATATTACCAAATTCACAATATAAAAATAAATACTGTGTGTGTGGTGTAAGAGTTCAGAGTTTTTATAAGCAATAAGCTGTTGTTTTCAGCTTCAAGTGGTAGATTATAACTGACAGATGTTTTTTATAAGCCTCGTGATAACCACAAAGCCAAAAATAGCAGATACACAAATAATAAAGGAGAATCAATGCTTAGAGATAAAGGAAATTATCACCATGGCACAGAGGAGAGGAAAAAAGGAGAGGCAAAGAAAGGGTAAACTAGTAAATTATTACCTATCAAAATAATCATAAATACAAATAAATCTTATAATGGAAGAAGATATGATTGGCTGAATGGATTAAAAACCATGATTACATATTTCTGTAAAAGATAGACATAACCTGAAAAGGAATACATAAATACAAAGTGAAGAAAGTAGAAAGATATATTCCATGCAAATAGTATCCAAAAGAGTGCAGAAGTGGCTCTATTTATATATGATAAAATATACTCCAAGTGTGAAGTTATCACATGAGACAAAGAAGTTCACTATTTAAGTATACATTAATTAAAGTTTTTAATTCATCAAGTTGGCATAACAATTATAAATGCACCAAATATTGGAGCTTGTGAATACATAAAGCAAACATCTATGGACATGAAGAAAGAGAGTAATATAATAATACCAGGGATAATTCATACTACATTGAATAATGGATATATCTAGATAGAAAATTAATAAGAAAATACAGAATTCAAATTGTCCTTTTGATCAAATGGACTTAATATATGCAGAAGTCTTCATCCAATAGCAACAGAACACACCTTTTCCACCAATGCACATAGAACATTCCCCAAGATAAATCATATGCCAGTCTATAAGACATGCTTTAACAAATTTAAGAGGATTAAAAATCATATCTGCAATCATTTCAGACCAAAATGCTATAAAAGCAGATATACTAACAGGACAATCTTTGGGAAATTATTCAATATTAGGACGCTAAATGACATGCCCAAGAACATTCAATATGCCAAAGAAGAAATAAAAAGAAAAATAGAAAATCATCTTGAGACATATAACAATGAAAGCATAGCATACTCAAACTTGTGAGATGCAGCAAAAACCATGATAAGTCCCAAAACAATGATTTAAATATGCAGAAATAGATAACAAGATAGTGTTTACCAAGGATAGGAAGTGGGCATAAATGGGGATATATAAATCAGAGGATGCAAAGTAGCAAATATAAAGAGTGGACAAGTCTAGATCTCTAGTTAATAAAATAATAATATATATTAGAATCATGATAAGTGAGTAGATTTTAGCTGACCTTAGTACAAAACCCTAAATAAATTGCTAAGCCACATTATAGATATAAAATTTTCACTAGTTTCGTGCATCTGCTATGTCGTGTTATAGACTTTTAAAATATCCAATAAAATAGTTTTTAAAAATAAAGAAACCAAAATTCTTTATTCTTTAATTTATTCCTATTTTAACTCATAAAAAATTGCAAAAATCAATGGGAATTTTATAGAATTCATAGACCTGTTATTGCAATAATCTTCCATTTCACGTAGAAAAGTAATTGATTTGTGGTAACTGTAAGCTTTTTCAGATACTCAGAGAGTTAGTCAGATACTAACATAAAAAATACAAACAAGGTGTGCCTGATGGTGCACACTACAATCCCAGTTATAAGGGAGGGATGTTACTGTAGGAGAATTGAAAGTTCAAGGCCAAGCTGGGTAGGTTGCAAGACTGTCTCAAAATAAATTTATGCATGAACTGCTGGTGGGTGTAGCTCCGGGACAGAGTGCTTGCCTAGCGTGTGCAAAGCCCTGGGTTTGATCCCAGCTAATTCAACTCTCTGCTTTTCCTGGATGAACTGCTACAAAGCATCTCTTTGTCCATCTCCAACTGAGGAAGTACAATATATGATTGTGTGTTATTCTGCATTATTCTCTGTATATTTTTCTACATTCTATATTTTCTATACACACACACACACACACACACATACACACACACTTTGTTTTCTTTGTCTCAATATTGTCTTTCATTTATATCTCTGGATTGCTCATTTTCAGAAAGTAATTATGAGCACCAGAACCATCATTTTCTGAGGAAGCACCATTAAAAGAACTACTACTTATTGCTCATACCTTGAGAACCTTGCACATAATCTCATAAACTGAGAATGTTTTCTCTGCTCGAGTCCAGTCCCAGGTAGTCACCTTTAAAATATGAGGAAAAAAAGTCACTTTTTTTTTAAAGACAGCTTCTATTCCCTCTTTATTTAATTTGCACAAAATGGTCCATGATAAGTGAAACTTTAACAGATCTTTTAGTCTCTCTCTTTAGGAAGTTGTTTTCAGAAGGTTTCCTTGAATAATTTTGATTTATCACTACTCTCTTCCTTTTCCAAATAACATTTTATGTCATGTGCAACAATTTCCATTTACTCAAAGTTTTTCATCTTATAAATAATGTGTATATTCTTACATTAAGTATTTATATTCCACATATACAATTTTTTTCTTGGTTTGCTATCACCAAATTCAATTTTTAAAAGGCATGATTTTTTTTTTTTTTCAGTCTCCAAGGGCTTTATTAGATAAAAACAATAACCAGAGCCTTGGTACTTTTTATAGTCCTCACAGCATGATACCAACAGGGCTAGGTGGCACCTGCACGTTAGAGGTTCTCTCAAGATGGCTTAAGATACTATGAAAACATCAGCACTAAGAAGAAATTGATATGCTTATTTATGTTTGAAATAGATTTGTCTAATCATAAGATTATTCAGTTAGAATGGTAGCAAAAGATATAAATGTTTGTGTGTGTGTGTGTTTCTGAACTTTGAATTTCATGAGAAACATTCAAAATATTTGCATGTCACATTTGAGAATTCCCAGATACTCTGTATTATTTAATTTGAAAGTAATTGGGCTGGCATTTAGTATTTATATTCAATAAATATTTATTGAATGTCTCTTTGTCTATAAAGCACATATTTCCAAAAGCAATAGGTATTCCATTCAATAGATATTCACACACATTTAGTACAAATCCCAGAGTATAGAATATAGATATAGATTATATCTATATATATTATATAGATATAGATTATATTATATAGATATAGAATATAAATTATCAAAAATTCCATAAATTTGATTTAGAATATCTATAAAAACAAACTTTGACAGTAATAACTAATAGATCACCAGAATGTATTTTGATTTTCTTTTTTGTATTTTGATTTTTACCAAGGACAAAACACTCTAATTTAAACTTTTAACATTACAAAAGTTCACTAAGTTGAGAAAGACTAAGCACTGACTTCGAACATTCTGAGGTTTTCTTACTTTTACTTGTTAATAATAAATTGAAAACTTATTGTTAGTAAAACCCTGACTTAGCTTTGATAGAGAATGTGTTCCTCCTACATGACTGTAACAATGTTTACCTTTGTGTTTACCAAGTGTTTATTTGTTTATGCCAGGTATATTAAATGGGCTCTTTTTTAAAAGTCTCTTTGGGAATATGAGATTAATAATATGAGTGTTGGTTAATATATAAAGAACATTTAAAATCACTTCACTTTCATTCATTTTAACACATTAATTTTTAAAATGTGTGTTTGATAAACAAAATACAGTGAAATAGCTTGGAAATATATTTTGAAATGTTATTGATGTCTTCATGGGATTTTTTTAATCAGCATTAGGAATTTATTCATTATTTATCACATTTAATATGTAAACAGAAACATATTTCAAATTTTTCAGAGTTTAGAAAACCAATATTTAATGCAATAATGTATATATTTAGCAGGTTATTTCAGGAACTTTTGGGTTGGTTTGTATTCTTTCCTGTATCTTATTTTCAAAATACACCCGTAGTATTTTACTTGGTATCATTCAGATGATGTCACTCTGTTGTGGCAAGATTGTGGGAAACCCATAATTTTTGATAAAGACACTTACTGGAGGTGCTGGAAACTTGTACAGACACGAGCCCCTCAGGGCTAGAAAAGTCGGGGAGTACACACGGTCTTGGAGGGGGTCCTGCTCCCGCACTTCACACCAGCCCATGTAGACAATCTACAAGGAAATTAAATACAAGTGACTGTCCAAAGAGCTCTTTGTACTCACCTTAAATAAGAGAATGTGAACATTTGATGAGTTTACAATATAATCCCTTATCAAGTGCTTATTTATGCAAGACAACCTGGCATAAATTATATTTTCTACTTTTCTACCAGTTCCTATGATTAAAAAAATTATTTCTAAGAGTCCATTGGCTCATCCATTGGTTTTGCAATTAGTGTCATTTTATTATATGCAAATGAGTTCTCAATACAAAATAAGTGAGTCAAGGAGGAAAGTCAGAGATATACTGTGTCACAATACTGCTAGAAGGAGGCCTCACATGAGCCCCGTGAGAGGGATTCATTCTAAC